CCTGCTGGCGATCTCAATTCTGCCCGATCTGGCCCTCCCAGAACATGGACGGAATAGCCAACTTGTGCAGTGCCTGCAGGGGGCCTGCCTGACCGCTCAGGCAGTACCCCTAGTGCCTAAAAAAATGTTCAAATGTTAGTATAAAAAAAGCAAAATAATAATAAAAGTTAAATAAAAGTTTATAAAGCACATAAAAAGTATATATATATATATATATATATATATATATATATATATATATATACACATGATCTAAGTACTTTTAAATGCACATAAACACACATACACCATTATTAAAAGTGTACTTTAATATATATACAGTATATACTCGAGTATAAGCCGAGTTTTTCGGCACATTTCTGGTGCTGAAAAACCCCAACTCGGCTTATACTCGAGTCAGGCTGTATTATGGCAATTTACATTTACTTGTAATGAGCCCGGCGGTCCTGTTGGGGGTTGACAGCGAGCTCTTACTTACCTTCCACAGCTCCTGTCAGCTCCCTCCTCCTCCGTGCAGCTCCTCGGTCAGCTCCGTTCTGCTTACAGTGTAAGTCTCGTGCAGCCGTAGCGCAAGTGCTGCTGGGAGGTCACTTCCTCCCAACTCACTCTGCACGGGAGGAGAGCCAGCGTGGAAGCCTTGAAGAGGGAGAGCCGCGCCGACTCCCATCAGCCTCAGCCACCCTCCTGCAAAGAAAAGGTAAGAACAGGAGTGTGGCTGAAAAATGAGCTAAACAGCAACCAGAGAATTTTCAGTTAAATGCCCCAGGGAGAGATGTTAAAGTTTGCAATATACATTGCTGATGTTCTGCAAATCATGGTATGGGTCCCTGGGGCGGAGTATTTGGAGAGCAGGGTGGGCCAATGCTCCAACAGCACTAGTTGTTGTGTAACAGACCACAATTTGGATCTGACTTACGGGTTTACTAATTGGCACTCACCTGTAGCTAGTCAGTTAGCAGACAGGCCTTTAAAGGAAGAGATCAGCCTGCTGCAGAGTGAGGGAGACAAAGCCAGCTAGGAGAGCTGAAGGAGAGACAACAACAACAACAACAACAACAACAACAACAACAACAACTGTGTTTATTGCAAAGCCATTTCTTTTTTTTTTTTTAATTGGTAAGTGGGAAAGCCACCCAATTACAGATAGTAATTCCTGTCTAGTAAGAGCAGGGGATTTTGTTTGTTTGTTATTATTTAAAGCTCCTGCTTTTTATCAAATAAAAAGGAAAACTGAGCTGAATGTGTCCTGGACTTTGTATACCCTAGAAGGCTGTGGTTACTGCAAGATCTGTGACAATCCTACCTGTAAAAGAGGTGGTTTCTTACAGTATGTATTCCAGTATCAATGTATGTCTGTATGTCAGTATGCATGAATGTATGTCAGTATGTATGTATGCCAGTATCTCTGTATGTATGTCATTATAAATGTATGTCTGTGTGTGTGTATGTCAGTATGCATGAATGTATATATGTATGTCTATATGTGTGTATGGATGTCAGTGTATGTATGTCTGCATGTCATTATGAATGTATGTCTGTGTGCATGTCTGTCAGTATGCATTTATGTATGTCTGTATGTATGTCAGTATGAATGTATGTCATTATGAATGAATGTATGTCGGTGTCTGTATGTATGTCAGTATGTCCTTATGCATGTGTCTGTCTGTCACTATGTATGCCTGTGAGTATGTGTGTCAGTATGTATGCCTATATGCGTGTATGTCTGTTTCAGTATGTGCGTCTGTTAGTATGTATCTGTGGGTGTGTGTATCTATGTCCTTTTGTATCAGTGTGTGTGTGTTTTTGTCTGTATTCCTGTGGGTGGGATTTGGAGGTGAACCCTGTGGGTGGGCTTGGAGGCCCAGACCCTGAGCTGAGTTAGGGGCCCCAAAATTTCTGGTGGCGGCCCTGGGATTGGCTGAGACTGACAAAGAGGCAGATCAGGGGCAGAGCCAGCACAATTCAAACACAGCCCTAGCCAATCAGCATCTCCTCCATAGAGATGAATTGAATCAATGAATCTCTATGAGGAAAGTTCAGTGTCTGCATGGAGAGGGAGGAGATACTGAATGTTTGGATGCATTTTAGGCAGCCATGACCCAGGAAGGATCCCTAGCAGACATCTAAGGAGTGGCCAGTGAAGTTATCACTAGGCTTTAATGTAAACACTGCATTCTGAAAAGACAGTGTTTACAGCACAAAGCCTGAAGGTAATGATTCTACTCACCAGAACAAATTCAATAAGCTGACGTTGTTCTGGTGACAATAGTGTCCCTTTAATGACTGTGGACATACTAGGTACGTCTGACAAAAAAACCATGGACGTACCTAGTACGTCTGTGGCAAATAGGAGCCCAGGACTTACCTGGACCGACGATCTGCGCCAATCACAGTTGGGGAGGGCTGCCGGAGATACCAGCAGTCTCCCTGCAGCAGCTCGGCCACCCCGGCCCTCCAGGGCCATGTGGTCACCATGATCACTGTAAGAATATTAAATAGTTAACTTGTTTATATGTATTTTATGCTTTTATAAGGTTTATAACATGATTATTGCTGACTGAAGGGATATTGAATACTTAAAGTCAATATGCTGACTGTGACAGACTAAGGTATTTCTTCTATAGGATGTAAGACAATGCTAAATTTCAGGATGTCTTGCCCATTCCGATTTTAAGGATATTCTTTTCCAGACGTATGCAAAAGCTTATCTTTCCATTGTCAGAATAACGTAATACAAGGAAGTAATAAATCTTATAGTCTGTACTGTATTTGCATATACCATGGCTAATGTAAGCAAACTATGTATAAAAGCCAGCTCTGGAATACACTCATTTGAGAGTCTTGTAAAGCTGTTGTCCGTGTGTTATTGCTTACAAATGATTCTCCATCAACGTTGATTATGGTGACCGAGGGATCGAGAACCGAGGGGATTAGAGTCCATTACAACATTAACCCTTTCAGCTTGGTGTCTAGAAGTGGGATAGAAGTTGGATCAGCAAAACCATTTGCGGTGAGTAGCCTTTTTGTGTCTTATTTGACGCTGATTGTCTATGACCCCCCTTTGGTTCAGTAAGACTGTATCCAGTAGATAGGAAAGGTGTAAGGACTCTAGTTATATTGAGACTATAAGAGGTCTCCGGTTTATTAGACATTTGGTCTAAATATATATAGGGGTTCTTGGTAACCCAGGTTAGTATCTAAGATAGATACAGGTTTTTGAGACCATAAGAGGTCTCCGGTTTATTATAGGGTTTTGGTAACCCAGGTTAGTATCTAAGATAGATACAGGGTATCTCAGGTAGATACAGGTTTTTGAGACCATAAGAGTCTCCGGTTTATTAAGTCTATAGGTGTTCTGAGTAGCACGGTTTGTAGATTTATAAGTATAACCCAAACTTCTCTTTCTCCCGGTCACCTTTGTTTGTCTTAAGTGTTTTTTTTGTGGGTGATTGTTTGTCTATATTGGGGACACACTTTGGTAAGTTAGTAGTGTCCCCACTCTGAGTCAGCAGTATGGGAAATGTGAGTTCATGTCCTGAGTGACCATATATGTATGTATATGTATGTATATATGTGTGTGTATATATGTGTGTGTATATGTATATATGTATATATAAGATAGCAGTACTTTTAAACAAATGGAGGTTTTAAAAATACATAGGGATTAAGGAGAGAACGCAGGTAACTTGTTTTTCTTTGGTTTTTACCATATATTGGGGCTGATGTGTACTGTAGTCCTTGCTGCTGCCCAGTAGTGATGGGAGTGAGCGCAGGACTTATCTTTCTGCAAGATAGCAGTACTGTATATTAGAAAAGAAATGACTCATAGGTTGTACCTGATAGACCTACTTAAATCTTTTTACTTTATTCTTTCTGTTGCATAGAAGTATAAGTTTATTACTCTGTTTTATTGTAAGTTATTTCACATGGGAACTGTGTGCCTGGAATGATTGTTGCTTTAAAAATACTATAAGCCCACTACACTTATTATGAGAGTGGGATAGTGTAAATGTGTTGCATTGATTGCATGATGAGCTCAGTATATTTTATAACTGAGACAAAAAGTCACATCATTAGTATTTGAAAGTTAATTCCCCATATGGGATTAATTGTATAGAAACACCAATCAGCACATCTTCCCTGCCCTGTGTGTTTGTTGCAAAGGATCCATACTAAATATGATTTATGTTTGAAAATAACAGAGCAACATTTACATTTTCAGCGGTCCAACACATGCTTTATTTTGCACTGTAAACTAACCTTTTATTGCAACAGGTTCCTTTTAAATGATCCAGTGTAATAACTACTGCTTGTGTCTTCTATGTCTCACATTATGTGTTATTTTAAATTGTGGTATATAGCCTGAATCAGACATCATGGACAAAAGGTTTTTACCTGTGTTACTAAGGGCTCTTGGAGACTGACCGGTCTAAAGGTTTGCCATGCCTTTAAAACATGGTATAGTATAAATTTTTAAGTCTCTGAGAGTTCTGAAAGATTCAGGTGAAACCATGTCTGTTTAATCTGGTCCAGATGTTTGTTCAATTTCTGTAAGATTTAAGTTGATGCAGCATCATCTCAGATTAGTTAATGGAAGTTTTATACAAATAGTTGAGTTATGAGCGCGCTATATAAATGGATCCTTTCTTTAAATATAATACTATAGTAGATTAAAGTAATGAAGTTAATTAAGAAAATGTACACATAAGAATCCCTAAAATAAATCTAAACTAAAATTGGTATACTTTCCAATAATATGTTCTGAATACAGCTGTTAACTGTTTATTCTGTGTAAATGGTGACTGTGATAATGTGTGATAAGTGTGCAGTTAAACTTGAAAGTGGTTTAATTTATATGTTGCTGTATTGTTTTAAATTATATGTGAATCAGTTTGTCACAGTCTAGTGATACTGATAAGAATGACAGCCAAATAACCTAGCAAATAACTGTTTTATTAGTTGTTGAATACTAGCGTTTTGGCCAAGAATAGTTGGAGATTTGGAGGTGTTAGTTTAAGATTGCTTTTATATTGTGTGTATCTGTGTTTCCTAGGAGGGACAGAGTGTGTAGTTGTGTGCCCATAAATGTGATTTCTGTATTGGCATATCTGCTGGGTACCCATTATGTGTTTCTACAAAGATATTGTTTTGTGAGATGACTAATATTACATGGGATGCTGAGTATGAGTTATATGGTTTGAAATGAATTGGTGATTATGAGTTTAGTACTTCAGTAAGATGTGCTAAAATTTGGAACAAGGTGGAAGCTGAAATGTTGGGATTATGGAAGAATAAGCAGTCTATATTCACTGCTTTGGCATATAAGCAAGATGCAAAGGAAGAGATTGGTAATATGATTTTTGTAAAGAAATTTTACAAGTGTTGGAAGGATGAGGCAGGTTTGATGTCTGGAGATGATATAGATCTCTTTAAAATACAGTCATGCCTTGGTAATATGTTGCCACAGTATTCTTTGCTTGTGAAACAATTGATTTCAGACTGGGCCAATTTGGATAGCTCAGATTTTCTTACCAAGGTTATAGAAAAGGAAAATGCAGGTTGTTTTGAATTAAGAAAAGGTTTAGGAAAGTAAGGTTGCTTATTATGCTCAGGGATTGCAACATATGTCCAGCTACACAGGCTGAGAGCAAGGATGGGATGGAGCACATAAAGCCCGCGGAAGGGGTGGTCAAAGAGGGGCAAGGGGATGGAGACAGGGAAATCAGGGTTATAGGGGCAGGGGTAACCAAGGAGGAATAGACAGGAACACTTGTTTCAACTGTGGCCAATATGGCCACTGGAGGAATGAGTGTCCACACCCCAGGAAACCCCAGGAAACCCCAGGAAACCCCACACACCCCAACAACCCCACAATTCTCAAAATATGCCCGGTAGGCAAGAACAACACCAGACCCACTCCCAACACCACTGGCCAGCATATCGCTTAGTTCAGGACTTTAGAGCCCTGAATAGTTTAATTGTGCCCATTTCACCCATTGTCCCTGATGTGACATCCCTCATTACAGCCATTCCACATGATGCCACTTGCTTCACTGTCATTGATTTAAGTAATGCATTTTTTCTATACCTATTGATCAAGAGACACAGCTACTTATGGTTTTTACTTTTTGAAGGCTGTCAGTTTACCTGGACACGCTTACCCAAGGCTATGTGGATTCCCCAGCTGTTTATTCGTTGGTACTCCAACATACTCTAAAAAACATGGACCACCGGTCATGGTTCCGTCCTTTTTGCAAAATGTTGATGATTTGTTGTTATGTAGCCCTAACTATGAGGCAAGCACTGTGGATACTGTCAGCAACTGTGGGTCACAAGGTTGTTAAACACAAAATGCAATTGTGTAAATCAAAGGTTGAATACTTAGGTTTTGTTCTGGCTTTAGGCACCAGACAATTGAGTCCAAAATGTATTGAGGTCATTCAGAGGATTCCTACACCCACTACTCGGAAGGAGTTGCTCACCTTCCTCGGCATGATTAATTACTGCCGCCAATGGATCCCTGAATGCTCCCATTATGACTCAATCCTAAGGGAGGCTGTACGTTCTGACAGCCCTGAAAATGTCTGCTGGTCACCAGACATGCTAGCTGCATATATTGCCCTTACAGTTGTTATTGTGCAAGCCCAGGCTTTAGGACTACCTGTGTATTGTAAACCATTTCATTTGTATGCTTGGGACAATTGTAAAACCATGGCCGCAGTCTGTGCACAAGAGCAAGGAGGCGGTATGCGTCCCATAGCATTCTTTTCCAAAGTAGTTCGAGCTCCGGTACAGGGTATGCCGGCGTGTCTCAGAGCATTGATAGCATGTGCAATGGCTGTTGAAAGTGCTACTACTATCACACTAGGGCATCCTACAATACTTCATGCCAGTCACCAGGTCACTCAGCTGATGACAAATCTCACCACACAACACATGACAGCCCAGCGCTTCAGTGGTTATGAGATTCTTTTTTTTTAAATACCCAGAATCTGTCTTTTGGATTAAACAAGGTTTAGAGAAAGATCAAAATGATCTGTTCTCTAAAGAGGGGAGAATAGGCATACTTGAAGAATAGGCATACTTGAAGCAAGCTGATTTATTTTCATCAGTCAGGCACATAGCAAGCACCATTCAATTCCTCATGAATTCATTTTATATTAGGAATCTCAGGCAGCATGTACAGTCTTTTGTAAGATCGTGTGAACGCTGCTCTTTTTACACACTTACAGATTGATTTTATTCATGTATCCAAAATTGGTAAGAAACAGCAATACTTACTGGTCATAGTTAATCAGTTTAGTAGATGGCATGAGGCCTTTGTGATATCTAGGGAAGATTCTAGTGAAGATTATTGTTACTGAAATTATTCCCCGGTATTGCTGCCCTCTGCAGATTGGCTCTGATAATGGCCCGGTTTTTGCAAGTGGGGTTGCCCAGGAACTTGCTAAATTCTTGCAAATTACCTGGCAGTTTCATATACCCTATCATCCACAGAATACAGGGGTAGTTGAAAGGATGAATAGGACTATTAAGGAAAAGCCCAGAATTTACCCAGGAACATGGGTAAATTGGACTAGATATCTACCAGCTATTTTAGCTGAGATAAGAGTGATTCCTCACAAGGTGACTAAATTATCTCCATCTGAGATTTTTGATGGGATGACCTTTTCCCACACCCTGGGCCAGGGAACCGCTTGTTATAATGTCTGTGGATTTACAGCTAATACAAGAACAATATGTACAGGAGTTGTTGATAAAACCGAATGGTATGTATGACAATGTTTCTTCGCAGTTTTCCCTTACCTTCACAGGAACCTACTCATTCATACCAGCCCGGTGACAAGGTGTATATCCGTCAGCTGAACAGGACCAAGAAAGGAGGATACCCTTTTGGACCACCTGCTACTGTGATTGCTGTACCCAGAACCGCTGTCCACAGATTCCCATGACATCTGGATTCACGCATCCCGAGTGAAGCTGTGTCCAAAGAGGGGAACCAAGGAAGACAACACCACTCCTCGCTCGGAAACAGAAGAATTTCTCCTCAGCGAAGCATCATGGCTTTTACACCATATCGTAGATTGAGAGGATCATACGTACCTGAGACCAAGATTATGTTGTGCGCTATGCTTTCTGGAGTTGTTATACTCCCTCTGATATTGTTCCTTGAATGCCATTATGAGTACAAGTCAATGGCAAGTTTGAAACCTGTTTGTTTCTGAAAAAGACTCTGACATGATGAACAATTCTTCAATACCCCCAGCCCAATTAGGCCTTAGCCCCTCATCTAGCATTCGTCACACACGCCCCCTCAAGAACCTTTCTCCACCACCTTTCTATCAGCATGTAATATGCAATCATTCATTCACTGAACGCATTTGGATGAATTGGACAAATAGTAACCCTTATAAGTACCAGTTACCCATATGAAATGTGTCTACAGCTAATGAAACCGATGCATTATGTTTGTTTAAAGGTTCACAGAAAATTGTTAGATCTTATAACGCAGAAATGTGCACAGTTAAGGTTGCATATCAATGTAAACAGACAGGCCTTATTACTTTTAATAATGATTATATAACTGGTATCATTAATTGGAAAAGGGGACAAATGTTAGTCATTATGAACAACACTACAATTGAGAACTATACACTACCTTATATTTTTACACCTTATTACTGTCCTTTATCCACTACCATAGAACCAAAAGTCAACCACGACACACACACACCTATTCCATCCACATGTGTTAATACAACTGTCTTCTTACAAGCTGTACATGTGTCATTAAAAATCACTACTCCTGTTGTAACATTATGTAACACAGCAAACAAAAGGCAGAAAAGGGAATGGTATGACACACTGTTAGGAGGTGCTGGAACCACTATGGGTATACTAAATAGTTATAGATATGGAGACCCTCAAGAATAAGTTAAACACAGCCAGCATGCATATAGGGACTGGTTTTCATGCTACTGCAAATTGGGCTCCAATTGTTGTTAAATCACAGGTTATAGGATTGGATTTAGATAAATCAATGTATAATTATTTAGATAATTTAACTGTTGCAACTATGAAATTCACTACAGATCTCGGTAACTGGAGTACTTGTGCCATCAGGTATTTATGGATACAACAACAAGGATTGGCATTAGAAAACACACTAATGATTCCTAAACTAGAGAAGATTAGAGGAATGTGTAACCTCACAGATAATGAATGGTTACTTCTAAAACCCCAATCCAGTAAATGCAATGGATGGTTAACTGGTAATGTTTCACATTTTTCATGCTCATGTTATTTTACATTATATCATACATCATCAAAGGATGTTAAATTAGCTTGTCAATTTAACACATTACCAGTACCAGTTTATGATCTTTTTGCCAAGAATTTAACCTGGTGGGCACCCACATACACAGGGGACTATATTTTCCCCAAAGATAACACACACAGGTAGCCACACATATCCTAAAAGGAGAACTCCTTAAGGTGAGTTCACAAATTCAGAATGATTTAGCCCATGATTGGTACAATGCTTTACTGGTTGGTCCCCTACTGGATCTCAGATAATGAAATCATTCTTCTATCATTTTGTTATTATAGTCCTGATTTTATTGTGTATGATTTTATATAACTGTCACCTTACTTGTACATTGAGGAAGAGAGTACAGAAATGAATCCATAATGCAGAACAGAAACAATTAAAAATTCTCCTCTCTGCCACTATAGAGTATCAACCCATTTTTAAACTAGGCCTTAGGAATTACCACATGGGAATCGAGGTGAAGAAATTAATGAAAGTCCCGCAGGGAGTGACTAGCACCCCTGAAAATACCATGTGGAAGTTTCTCTGTCCTGGTAAGATTTTATCGATAAGATGAGCAATTGTTTTATTGCTCAAAGAGGGGAATGTAAGAATATTAAATAGTTAACTTGTTTATATGTATTTTATGCTTTTATAAGGTTTATAACATGATTATTGCTGACTGAAGGGATATTGAATACTTAAAGTCAATATGCTGACTGTGACAGACTAAGGTATTTCTTCTATAGGATGTAAGACAATGCTAAAATTTCAGGATGTCTTGCCCATTCCGATTTTAAGGATATTCTTTTCCAGACGTATGCAAAAGCTTATCTTTCCATTGTCAGAATAACGTAATATAAGGAAGTAATAAATCTTATAGTCTGTACTGTATTTGCATATACCATGGCTAATGTAAGCAAACTATGTATAAAAGCCAGCTCTGGAATACACTCATTTGAGAGTCTTGTAAAGCTGTTGTCCGTGTGTTATTGCTTACAAATGATTCTCCATCAACATTGATTATGGTGACCGAGGGATCGAGAGCCGAGGGGATTAGAGTCCATTACAACATTAACCCTTTCAATCACATGGCCACAATAGGAGTCTATGGAGCTGTCAGCAGGAGGACTGTCTGAGCTGCCAGGCAGTCCTCCAGGCTGGCTGCTAAAAAGTAAAAAAATAAAAATAAAATAAATAAATATATTATATTCATTATAAGTGTACTTTGAAATATATACACATATATCTCAAAATACACTTAGAATGAAATCATATATATGCATTATGAATGTATAATATATTATAAAATGCTTTAATTATTTTATAATATATTATACATATATAGGAAATAATAAGTGTGTGTGTGTGTGTGTGTGTGTATATATATATATATATATATATATATATAAAACCTAGAGGGCTGCACTCACCTGAACATGCATACATTGCTGGGGCCAATCTATATATATATATATATATATATATATATATATATATATATGTGTGTGTATGTATATGTATGTGTGTATGTATATATATATATATATATATATATATACACACACACAAAAATACCAGCACTCCAAGGATTTCCAGATTATGATCTTCTTTATTCTAAATGACATCAACGATTCAGCTCCCTTACAGGGCTTTCATCAGGATACTGATGAAAGCTCTGTAAGGGAGCTGAAACATTGATGTCATTTAGAATAAAGATCATATTCTGGAAATCCTTGGAGTGCCGGTATTTTTTTGTATATAGTGCTTAGCACCGGGTAGCATTATTTTTTTGAGTGCAAGGGCTTATTACTTTTATATATTTATATATATATATATATTAAAAACAGGGCCGGACTGGGGATTCCAAAGCAGCCCTGGAAAAAATAAATCTATGCCAGCCCCATAAGTCATTGCGCCATATATTGTCGCATGTAATATGTAAGGCTATGTCTTGTCACCCTAGATGATTGAGATATATATATATATGTATTAAGGCCGTTTGGCCTGTATTTGTGGGAGGGGCTTAAATTAATTCACTCCCCTATATAAGGGACACCCCTTACCTGACTCATATCGCTTGAGGTCAGCATCAGAATGATTTCCACTTCCGGGTCATTCCAGACGCCATTTTACCTGATTACTCCATGAGGTTTTCTAAGCAGAGCTGTGTCAGGAATCCAGCCACAGGCTTTTCCGGCCTACCACCTTCTTTCTTCAATCCATCGCCGTGGATGGTGTCCAAGTGACTCACAAACCGTAAGTCGACCTACCCGTTACGCCAGGCATCAGTCCCACGGCACCATGCACGGGTCAGGTCCTCACTTTACGGCTGCATTTTGTCTATGTCTGTTCTAAAACCATTGCATGTTCATGAAAATCATTTGTTTAAACCCCCTACCGGTCTTTGGGTGTACTACAGGCTTCTTAGACATTATTGCATTTCATGTACAAACCAATGAACCACTGCATTTTCGCCTACACACTGACCCCTACCGGTCATTTGGTGTACTACCGGCTTCTCAGACATTATTGTATTTCATGTAAAAAATCAACCAACCACTGCATTTTTCACCTACACACTGACCCCTATCGGTCATTCGGTGTACTACAGGCATCTTAGAAGTTTTTTGCATTTTCATGTACAAACCAATAAACCACCTAATTTTAACCTACACACTGACCCCTACCGGTTTTTGGTGTACTACAGGCTTCTTAGACATTATCGCATTTCATGTACAAATAAACGAATCACTGCATTTGCGCCTACACACTGACCCCTACTGGTCATTTGGTGTACTACAGGCTTCTCAGACATTATTGCATTTCATGTACAAATCAACGAATCACTGCATTTGCGCCTACACACTGACCCCTACTGGTCATTTAGTGTACTACAGGCTTCTTAGATATTATCGCATTTCATGTACAAATCAACAAACCACTGCATTTGCGCCTACACACTGACCCCTACCGGTCATTCGGTGTACTACGGGCTTCTCAGACATTATTGCATTTCATGTACAAAACAATAAACCACTGCATTTTCACCTACACACTGACCCCTACCAGTCATTCAGTGTACTACAGGCTTCTCAGACATTGCATTTCATGTACAAACCAACGAACCACTGCATTTGCGCCTACACACTGACCCCTACCGGTCATTCAGTGTACTACAGGCTTCTCAGACATTATTGCATTTCATGTACAAACCAACTAACCACGGCATTTTCGCCTACATGCTAACCCCTACCGGTCAATCAGTATACTACAGGCTTCTCAGATTTTATTCCACTTCATAAGCAAACAAACTAACTACAGCATTTTCGCTTTCATACTGACTTCTATCTGTCAAATGGTAGCATTAACCCCTTAAGGACACATGACATGTGTGACATGTAATGATCCCCTTTTATTCCAGAAGTTTGGTCCTTAAGGGGTTAAAGGGTATTTTAACATACAATCAGCATTTCTGACCCCTACTGGTCAACAGCAAAACTGTCTTCACATGTCATATACAATTTACCAGCCAATATAAATTACACATAAGATTGTTTTAAACATAACTATAGACCATAAATTAAACTCCAGCACGGGCTCAACTTCAGGTTTAATTCACAATAATTTACATTTCACATCAAGACCAACAGTGGTTCTATCAACACTGCCACCTACAGGTCTGTCAAGTACATTGACAATTTTCATGGGGTTTTACAAACACCAAAACACTGACACCTATAGGTCAACAGACAAACAACATTTCACATACCAATCAGTATCCAACTACACTGCCACCTATAGGGCACTCGGCAGATCTCCAGTGCACTTGCATTTTGCAACACCATGTTCACTGACCCCTACCATTCAATAAGACATACAACAATTCACATAGCAAGCACTATATCAACATCTGGTATAAATACACATATTATTACACAGTAGCAGACGCATCTGTATATATGTAACTGGTAATATAGTTCACATACATTTTTCACAGCACGCTGCTCCCGCAACAGACTTCCCCTAGCAAGGGGACATGCAACATACAAGGTGGGGACAGACCACATTTTCACTTGTACATACGGCACTTAATGGGTTAAGATTGATACATATTTAACCAGTATGGCTACGATGTTTAATATTTACACATCACGTCACTTTACTTTTCACATATACTGTACGTATTAAGATAAGCTTGGTCTATGCCATATTTCCTTATGCCATACGGTTTTATCCATTCAGGTTACAGTTACTACTAAAAAACCTATACGGATTGTCAGGTTCAATACCATACTACCAGGTACATACACCTGCTCACGTAGTTATCCATCTCTTACCTTCCCTGGAATAGTAATAGTGTACTGGCAATTAGGGTTCTAGGGCCCAATAGGTATTACCCCCTTTTTTCTCTGCATTATGCTTCGGTTAGTGGTCCCGCGAGGCCAACACCCCGCCTCACACTCGGAGGCATACACCCCTCGGGCCACTCGTGAGCTAGCCGCCTCGCATTGTATCATAGAGAGGACCTCACCTGTCACTCCCCTTCCTATTTTCTGGTTACTGTCACCGAGAGGCCAACATCCTGCCACAACGTTCGGTGGCCACACAAAATCCCCTCGCGCCAAGCATAGATAGAGCCTCTCAAGCCACTTGGCAACTAGCAGGGCCTCACCAGTCACCAAAAAACACCAAGCCTAATCGTTTCGCCTTACGGCTTAGCTAGCAAGCCAGTACAAGAACCCTGGGTACAAATAATAATTGCAATCTTTATTGTTATTTAAGTATTTCTCAAAAAGATGGTGAAGAATCACCTCTTCCTAGCACCCCGGCTAGAATTGATACACCTTCAAGCAGAGGAGATGTTGCTAGTCCAGCAGCAATCAGATCCTGGACGATCCCACACATTACCACCGACCTAAGGAGGTGACAAATCCCCTACCCTGCTACAGCAAGGAAAGCAGTTATTCAAACTCCTCTATACATCAACGGACAACACGGAGGCAGGGGAAGGCCCAGCTACATCAACTCAGGTGACACCCAGGCTATGCTAGCTTCACTCATAAACTCATGAGCCAAAAAATTTATGACAGACTGGCAATCTCGAGTTGGTCACCACAGCCCTCACAAGGCTGGGCCTCACGCTACTGTACAACCAGCACCAACCGAAACTCTGTTACCTGGTACAATCAATTCTTATGACACACAAGATGTTAAACCCAAGTGCCAGCCCTGCAATGTGCCTGCGGACCGGGGAGGAAGATCAGAGATCTCCCTCCCCGGTCCGCAGGCACCGTGCTGACAGCCGGCGGCGGAGGGAGTGAGAGAGAGAGAGGACCCGGAGCTCAGTCTGCAGCTCCTCCGGGTCCTCCTCTCTCGAGATTTGGAGCGTTGCCGCGGTTACCACGGCAACGCTCCAAATCTCGCGAGAGTGAACTCTAGCCCGGGAGCGCGGGCTAGAGTTCACTCCAACCACTGGGACCACCAGGGAATCACCACTGGGACCACCAGGGAAATGTCCCCCCTCCTCCTAAATAAAGGTAAGAAGGGAGGGGGGACATAGAATATTTATTTTATTAAATTAAAAAAAAGATTATTATTAAAAAGTCTCCTTCCTTCCCCCATTACACACACTGCCCCCCCCATACACACACTGCCCCCCCATACACATACTGCCCCC